GCTGACTCTCTCGGGTTTTGGGTTTGATTTGACCCGGATCCGTGGACCTCGTCTTCCTTACCTGACTCCGGCCGATTTTCCAGCGAGTTTTCTCTCTCCTTCCCGCGGCGTTTCCGTTGCCGATTTCGGTCCTCTTTCTTCCCTTTCCTCTTTATTTGTCGTCCTTCTTCCTTTTCTGGGAGTTTTACGGCCTAAAGGTTACTAAAACCACAGATCTAAGAACGATTAGAAAATACCCAATTTTTCGACCTCGGTTACCGACGACGGCGTTTACGAAAAAGTACAAAACGCACCTTGAGTTATTGTGCTTTTGTTAGGGATCCTTCTCGTGGCGGTAACAGTTCGTTTGGTGTCTGTTTGAGGGTTCGTCGGAGAAACTGGACACTCGCGGACTTTTTTTTTGAAACCTCTCTCTCCCTCTCATAGTTTTCTGTCTTTTCTCCCTTTGCAGGTGTCCTGATGGTGCTGGGAGTCGTGGGCTGAAAGTTGGGCATGCTGTGGCCGTCGTTTCGCGTGGGTTCCGCGAAACTCGGCGGTTGCCGAAAAACTCGCGGGTTTTCCGGCGACTGAGTTTTTTTTTTTCTTTCTTTCCCGGGTCGTTACATTATGTGTATTCAAGAAGTTTAAAAGACTCGTTGAAAACGGGTCTGATCATAAGCTAAAAACTTGTGCGTCGACCGAGGTGGCGAGTTCTTATCCTAAAACTCCTCAAAGTTTTTCGAAGATGAAGGTATCAAGCGTCAACTCACTACATCGTACACTCCACAATAAAACGGTAGGGTCTAATGAAGAAATTGCACCATAATGAACACTACAAGAAGCATACTCAAGAGCATGCAAGTCTCGGAGATTTTCTGGGGTGATGCAATACGACATGCGGTTTATTTTCTAAAATGTTTACTGACAAAGACATTGGACACTCACACCCTCTACGAAGGATGTTTTAACAAGAAATGATGAAAGAATTTGAGATGACTGATCTCGAGCTACTCATGTACTACCTCAGTATTGAAGTGGACCAAAGGAAAGATTGCATCATGCTAAAGAAATCGGCCTATGTTAAGAAGGGGTTGCAACAATTTAAAATGGTAGCGTGCAACACGACCAAGTATTCTATGGAAGCGAAGTTACAACTCGGGAAAGATGTTGAAGGAAGCATGGTCAATTTCTCTAAGTATAGACGCATCATTGGAAGCCTAAGGTACTTGAATCATACTCGTCTAAACTTTTCATATGTTGTTGGAATGGTGAGTAAGTACATGGAAAAGCCCACTACAATGCATCATCAAGTAGTTAACCATATTCTCTGCTATGTGAAGAGAACCATAAGCTACGAACTGAAGTATCAAAGAGGTTAAGGTCCTAAAGAACTAGTCGGGTTTATCATAGTGATTTAGCTAGAGACATTGACGATGGAAAAAGCACCGTAGGAATGACATTTTATCTCAATAGAAATTTGATCTCTTGGCAGTCTCAGAAGCAGCAAACTGTGTCACTATCTTCCTGTGAAGCCGAGTTCATGGCAGCAATTGGGGCCTCGTGCCAAGTATTGTGGCTGAGAAATTTGCTGAGCAAAGTGACTAGAAGTAAACTAAAGCCCGTAACTCTCTACGACCAAAATAAATCTATAATTGCACTGATGAAGAATCCAATATTTCACGGATGACAAACACATCCACTTGAACTTGACTAAGTAGAATAAGTTTAAGGTTTCTCTATTCAAACGATCTCTCTCCTCAAGTTTTTCTTCTTGTTTTAGTTGTTTGTTTCGACATATCTCAATCGTGAGCAACATCCAACACTCAAAACATATTGTCACCGAGAAGTTAAAAAACATCGATTCATGCCTTCTAAGAGTGTGATAATGCTTGAAACCGCGAGACTTTGAATCTACAAACCTCGGAAGAGAAGGTGGTGGGGCGGAATCAAATGAATGAGCACGTTTGTTTGATCTACAAATTATGGTAAGCTTAAACCAAAAGTTTCTTTTGACCTTAAACCACTACACCCTTAACGAAACCTCACGATATGGTATGGTAGAGTTTGTACCGAGGATGTCTTCAAGTTCTAGGAGAAGAGCAGGCGTTCATTAACCGTACATACAAGAAACCAGGGAATAAAACAAAAAGGGGGCCATCGTTTAAGATTTCACGTGAAGAAGAAAGGAGTCGCAGGTGCATAAAGGAGAAAGGGGACTAGTTCAAGTGAATCAATTCAAATCGGTTCACTTGAATTGAATCGAACCGGTTCGATTGGATCGATTTTGGCCCAACAAAATCGAAAACCCCCTATTTTCATAATATACAATATTATGACTTCGATTTTCACCTTGATTCCAACCGTTCTAATATTTTTTTCATAATATAGAACCTAATTAAGAACTCTTAAAAATTTTGAAAATTCTTGAAGAGTCGAACCAAACTCAAGAAATCACCCTACAAGTAAGTAGCCAGGTGGTTTATTTCAAGTAATACTTGTAAAGTGGATCAGGACATTGAGCTACTAAATTAGAATGAATGATTTTAGGCCTAATTGACCAAGAAACAGTTTTATACCTTCCGCTTGATATTATTTTTAGGATTCCAACATGTCGTATATAATTGTTAAACATTTATATATGTATGATACTTCGTAGGAGTATGTTATAGGGTTAAACATCCATGTACATTTAGTTTATACTTCCGATATTTGCTATGTGCTTAGAGAGTCAAGAAAAAACATAAAAATAAACTTGAGCTACTATTTTATGTTTGGTAAGTCATAAAGCCTACTTTTTGGCCCATAGGCATTTTGGGTAAGTTAGGTATCATGTAGGGACGGTGGGGGAGTGATTCCTAATCGTGAACTTTCCTTGAGGAGCCAAGGTCTACTAAATACACATAGTTTATTAGTCACCTATAAGGAACTTCAGAAGTCATATTGTGTATGCTATTGAGGAGCACTCAATAGACATATACATGCATGGGGGACAGGCAATTAGAGTACTTGTTTCATAGAGCATGACTCACCCACACATGAGACTTAACGTATGGCCCCTTACAAGGGCAAGTGGACTCACGTGTTAGCACAAGATTGATAGATAAGTGAGCGAAAATATAGAGCCAAGCATATCAGAACAACCCCTACATTATGGCCCAGGATTAGGCATACACCCTAGAAGATAGTGTATAAAGTTTGGATACATATGAGCCTTATAGATCTAACACAAACTATATGTCACGATATCAACTAATGCTAAGATAATTATAATGAACACATGCATAAGAACTCATCATAGGAATTAAGTCTGACGAGAGTCTACAAATAGATCACTTACTATATTTTTATACCCATTCATATTATTCTTCATTTTTCAAATGAAGCGTAGATCACTATCGATGACGGGAGCATACAACTAGAAGAGTTGGGATACTTAGAGATGGAGTCTTTTCCATCTCAACTCAACCAAGGGTGTAAATGGAGTTAGAGAGATTTATTGGGTCCGATGGAGGCCAACGGAGAACCAATGTAAATTGATCCATAATATTTAGTATTTAATAATTTAAAAAAAAAATGTAATAGAAGAAGTTAAAACTGGGTAAATTCATGGAATGCCAGAAAAAGGAAAAAGAAACAACAGAACTGAGAAAGTAGGTCGAGGTCGAGGTCGAGGTCGGAAGTATTTTCCTGATTTGCCTCTCCAAACCCCAAACCCACAGAATTCATCGGTTCCTTGGAGATGGCCCCACAACCACTACTACATCCTTCTTCCAATTTTCTCATAACCAAGTAAGGGAAATGAGATGGTGGGAGTGTGGAAAGGGTGAGGGATATGTTGGGTTAGTGTGGAACAAGGGAAATGAAAATGATGGGAATGGGGATGAGAGAGGAGGCGCAATTTGGGAATAAAATAATATATATCCATGGATCCTAATTCAAACCAAGGAACAGAGGCATGACATGATTTGATGTAATCACATGTCCAAATCATACCAAATTCATAAACCTATTTTGACTTCACATGTCCAAATCATACCAAATTCATAAACCTATTTTAACTTCCATTTCTGTGCTCCTCCTTCTCCCACTTTTCCCATCATCTACACTCCCCCCTTTTTTTCCACCCTTTCTATTTATTTATTCAATTAAAATTTTTATGATTTGATAACACCTCCATCACTTCTTAAAAGAGGTTACATCATTTGTACACATTACACTATGCATAAACAAGAAACACACGGTTTTGTGATTGGTCACAAACAACTTTGTTATTCTCAATAATTTCAGACTGTCCTGTTTTTTTTTAATTTTTTTAATTTTTTTAATTTGACTTTTTAACGCAATTCTTAGGTACACACTTAATTTTGGAGGAGAATAACATACACCAAATACACGAGCCTCTAATAAATTCTAACACCCAACCAAAAACTTGATTTTGTTTAAAGCTTAAAAAATTAGGAAGCATAGGGTAAATTAATTAAAATAGGGGCACAGGGAGAATGGGGTAGTTTTTATGTCAGTTGCTTTGTTTTCGATAAATGTGCCAAAAAGATTCTTACTCTTTTAATGTATTTGTCCAATAATTGTTTTATACAACAATTTTAATAAATATAAAACAAATCTTTGTATATCATAAACAAAAGGTGACGGAAGATTTGTGTATATTCATTAAAAATATTTTAGTTATTTCATAACTTTTTTGAAAAAGCGATCCCTCAAATTTTCACGTTTTAAACCACAACTTGGTTCTCTTTTTCTTTTCTATATATATAAAATATATCAAACTGGAATATTCGTTTACCATATTAAGAATTGTTAATAACACTTTCAATAGGGTTGATGGAAACTTGATGTGTAGTTAGATTATATATAAATGTAACATGAAAACGGTAGCGTTGACGTGAATTGGAAGGAAAAGAAAAAAAGAAAAAGAAAAGAAAAGAAGAGGGACAGGGGGTGGGAACCTTGGAAGACGCACTCCCCGTTCTCTTTCCCCTCAACCCCACTTGAGTTTCAATTCACTGAATCCACCCCTAAGATTTCATATTGAGGAGAACTTAAATAATTAAGCCCCCAGACTGCTCCATCTTCCACCATCTCCTCTCCTCTCTCTCTCTCTGGATCTCTGTTTTCCTTTCCTTCTCCGCCCAATTGGGGGTTCCTTCCTAAATGAGTCTTGGACTTCCAGACACCGACACCCCAGGGGTTCCCAATCCCGACGACTTCATAAGCATGCACCACCACCACCACAATCTCAACCCCCACCCCCACCATTATTACTTTCTCCACGACGCGGCCCCCCAGGAGCAGCGCATGCTGGAGTACACGCGGTCACTATCTCAGGGGACGGCGAGGCGATTGGTGCCCGCGGCCACGTATTTGGCGGTGCTGGTGTGCCTGGCGGCGTCGCTGTTGATCCTCCCGTTGATTCTACCGCCGTTGCCGGCGCCGCCGTTGATGCTGCTGTTGCTTCTTCCCATTGGTATTTTGGGAATGCTGATGGTGTTGGCGTTTATGCCTTCGAATGACGCCAAGGATATTAGTTCCTCTCATACATCTATGTAATCTAAATCTCTCCTTCTTCGTTCTGGAAATTTTGTATCGCTCTGTTTTGTTGAGCTACAGAATTAAGAGACACTCAAAAAGGGTTCTTTCGTTACTTGGAAATCATATATTTTAGGCAATAAAACTGAGTCCCAAATCCCCCCCTTCCTCCCTTTTCTTTCTTTGCCCTGCTTTCTTTTGTTTCTCAGCCCTTCAATTTTTGGCTCTTTTATTTCATTTTTCTAAAACATATTACATTTTTATTCACACCCATCAAACAAAAAATATATTACAAATACAATTTATTCTTAAAATATTTAAATTTTTAATTTTTAAAATATATAATTAATGAGCTTATAATTCATCTATTTGGGTTTGGGTGGATGATTTTTAACCCTCTCAACACTAGTCTTTATTTATTCAGTCGTTTTGTAAACAAATACGCCACTTGCCACTTGCTCATATTTGCTCCATCTTAATTTTTTTCTTTCATTCAAAATTTTGTTACAAATTTCTAATTAAATGCTAATGTATCTGTATACGCTTTGTTTTATATGAAACATCAAATTTTCTACTTAACCAACTATAAATAGAGGAGTTTCAGCCTCCTACTTTCTTGAGAGGAGTTTCAGTCACATGCTTTTTTGAGGTGCTCCAGCTGATGTTCAATCAACGATACGGTTGGTTTTCTTTTCATTATAAAAATATATATATATATACATGTAAAAAATATATGTTCAGTGGTTGATCTTTAGGTCTCCTATAAAAATATCCAACTAACTTGCCATCTTTGTTTCTATTGTACAAAAAATTATAGTCGATTGTATTATTAATATATGTCAAGATCAGTCGAACGACATTTAAATAAGACTTCTTTAGACTTTGCATGTGCAGAATAATGACTCCAATTGCATTCTCAAATCCCTTTTAGTTAGTTCAGGTAGATCTTCTAGTTCAACTCTTCAGATAAAAAAACATTCTATACGTACATCTGGTATAATTTTCTATTTTTACTTGACACAAGTGCTAGTGGGATATGTACGATAGTGATATTCACCATTGGACTAACTATTTCATCATAGGCTAGTCCATATGGTTGAGAGAACCCTCGAATAACAGGCTAAGTCTTGTATCTCTCAATTGATTCATCTGATTGATGTTTTATTTTGCAGACCCATTTGCAAGAGATGAGTTTGACATCTCCTAGTCTTGGCACTAGTTCCAAGATTTAATTTTGCTCTAGGGCTATGATTTATTCCTTCATTGCCTTCCTGCCAAGTTAAATTTTGTGATGCATATTCATATGTCTCTCGCTCATTAACTTTGTCTTCTATAATAGTTATGTTGACATATTTAAGATTTGACTTTCAAATTATTTCTGATCGTCTAAGCTATTAACTTGTCATTTCCTTTTCATTGGATTCACTTCATTTAGTTACTTCTTGCTCACAAACATCAATGTCATTTGGATCTTCAAATACATCAACACTTGACTGAATGTGTGTAGTTTGCTCCCCCATCTTTTGTTGTAGAACTTCTTCGATGTTGTTCAAGTCTGGAAAGACTTTCTTCTCTAAGAACCACCACTCTTCAGTTACACAACTCTAATCGCCAATCAGGTTGTTTGAGCATCCGGAATCAATGACCCAATCATTCTCATAATCTGGATGCTCTCCATCATCACCATGAGTGTTATTTGTCTTCTTCTGGCACATAGTACTTGTGCATCTCATTCATCCTCCATGAAGAAATTTTTCTTAGACTAACAATCTTTAGATTTGTAGCCATTTTTCCACATTTGTTGCAAATATCTTTGAATATTTTTTCTTGAGGAACTCTTTGTTACGTTTTTTCTGAGCTCTCCAAAGTTGTGTAGTTTCTTAATGATTTTTTCTTTTGTCACTATTTTTATATCCACCTTTGGTGGACAGCTTATTGTTGTTCAAACTATCAAGTGTAGAGTGTTTCTTCTTCCTCCCTCAATGTGATACCTTATGAGTCAATAAAATACTTTATGAGTCAATAAGCTTAACTTACTAAAATAAGTTAGTAACGTGCAGCAATTTTAGTATAATTGTCAGTAATTATTAACGTGAATAAGTTTAGCAAAATTGTAAGTGTTTTTCAGTACAATTGTCGGTAGTTGTTAATTTGGGGGAGAAAGTTTAGGAATCCTATTAATGTTTTCCCTATAAATAGTTTTGAGAGGTAGGTTTTATTTACAAAAAAAAAAAAAAAATAATAATAATAATAATAATAATTGAAAAGCATAGTGCTTAAGTCTAAAAAAACTCTTCCCTAGCATTCTTATTTCTACTTCAGTTATTTGTTTGGTTGTACTTTTATTTCTACTTCAGTTATTTGTTTGGTTGTACTTGATCAAGGGTCATATTCACCGTAACCTTCTATTTACTTAGCCATGGTTTTTTGGTTGGCTAGAAAATTTTAAAACTCTATAGATGATGATTTGAGTCGGTTATTCTTGTAAAGTAACAAAAACTTCTATACTCTGGCTGTAATCCATGGATGTTCTTTTTCATTCAAGCTTCTCCAATGACAAACTCCAAATCTAGTTTAGTAATTTCCCAACAGATCGACTTGATCTTGTAAAAATATTGAGCAATCGTCATGTAACGTTGTGAGATTGACAACAACTCATTCTCTAGAACTTATAGTTTCACGTCATTCATCTTTGAGAAAAATGTCACGAACATGTCCTATGCTTCTTTTCGGTCTCTTGTTGATAATGTAACCCTAATCCTCAGCCCAACGATCAAAACTTTTGTGGAAGCAAGAACCCTTGAATCAATGAAATTAATACTTTCTTATACAAAATTCGGACAACCAAGAGATAAGACTAAAATTAGATTACCACTTAAGATCAAAGATCTAGACGTAAGATTTGAAACCTAGTTCTAAATTTACTCCACAATCGAACTTGATCAATACTTGATTGAATGATTCAGATGCAATTTACACCAGAATTGGTTGAACCTTAGAAATGACAAAGAATTAGTTGAAACTTAGAAATGGCAAAGCTGATGCTCAAATTTCTGAGGATAAAAGTCTCACTTTGAGATTTCAATTTCATTCCTTCCACGGATCTGTCTTTTAATAATAGTTTGTGGGTATTCATAGTCTCTCAAAAAGTAAACTTTCAATCCTTCGAATGCCAAGTTAGTGGCCATAATTTAATCCTTACTTTCAATGCTTCAAATGCTTAAGTTAGTGGCCATAATTTAATTCTGATCCCTTCAAAGGGAGTCAATTTGAGAAATAAATCCCACCTTTTTGCCCATTACAAAATTTAAAATAATAAATAAAGTTTTCTAACGACTTATCAAATTAGTTGGTAACACAAGAAATAATGGTTTAACCGAGCCTATCCAATGTTATAGAAGAAGAATGAAGGTTTGTTGAATTTTCTTGGCCTTGGATCATATAATAGGTCCAATTGGAACATTTGGAACATCGTGATCCTTATCATCAATAGGTCCAGTTGAAACATTTGGAACACCGTGATCCTTATCACTTGTCATCTCGAATTTTCTCTAAAATCTTTTCTTCGGTTATGGTCTTCAAGAAAAAAGTTGTCTTGTCTGCTTTGATTCTCCATTTACGCAAGGTACCATTAGCATCCTCCTCGGTTGGCATAGTTTTGCTTCCGCCAACAACCTCCCAAAGATTTTGTCCTTATAGATAGGACATCATGCATATTGTAAATGTGTTGTAATTGTTTTTGTTGAGTTTCTTGATTGCTCTGACAAATTGGAGATCACTCATTGTGTTGACAATACCTTAGTAATGCCAAACAAGCTTTTTTGATACAAAACTAGTAGAGTCACAAACTACTTACAACACAAAAAAACTCATTCACTAATAATGTTAAGAAATCGTTTCTAATGTGAAAGATAAAGACAAATCTACAATCATAGAGCATATTAGGAATTCCAAAAGAGACTGAATGACCTATACCAACTTCGCTTTAATACTAGATTGTTGAGCACAACTCTTTTATGGGAAACACTCACACCAATCAAGAAAAGATTATAAGACATTTTGTAGAAACTACTCCACTTTACTTTACTTGAGATTGCTTGGGATGAAAAACTTAATAGGGTGGAGGGGTATTTATAGTAGAGTCTAGACTATTTATCATAAAATATCTAAATATTGGTACATAAACTACCTAAATCATTTTTCTAAAATATTATGCAATAGGTTCATTAAATTATTGGATTTGACACTATTGGACTAGTGATAATCTTTTTAACATGAATTCCATTCCAGCGTACCTGAAGTTTATGGAACAATTTCAATGTTGCAACTATCTTTATAATGTCATAGAAAATGTTCTAGCAAGTCTTTTCTAACTCTAGCTCATTTAATAAAGTCAAATCTTCTCTACTCTCATAAAGTTTTTCTTCTTAGGATTCGGTTCTCGATTCTGACTCTAGCTCCTTTAACGAGATCAAATCTTCTCTTCTTTCACAAAGATTTTCTTCGTATGACTCAATCACAAAACCAAGGTTGATGAGAAACTCTGGAAAGAAATCCACAAATAAATTAGAATAGAAGAAATGTTGAAATGTAAAAGCTCAAAAAGAAAAAACAAATCCTATTTAGGTGTAAAAGCAAAGGTTCGCTTCAATTTATCCTTTCAAAAAGGAAAGATGTTGCATGCAGCCCAAGGAAGATTTCCTTCTCTCCACATCGTGTTCGACACCCAGTTTGCACAGCTAAGTTAACCGATGTATTCTTGTTGTAGCATCAACCAATCATTTTTTTTTTTTTATGCAACTGCTTAGTTGTTCGATGTATGCTCGCAAAATTTTTGGCATTTTTGTCGTGGTTCTTCTACGTTGGACACAACACAACCGCAAGGATGAAAAATTTTACGTAACTACTTGTGTAGTTCCAAGTCATTCCTCATAATCGATTTAACGAGATCGTGACATCAACATTGTCCCAATTCTACACTCAATAGTTACTCAAGTGGCCTTTACGCCCTGGTTAGCGACATTTATAACATACTCCTATCCCCATCAAGCACCCACCCTTGTGCTTGAGTTTGCACTTAGGGCATCTAACTACACCTTCATCTTCTTGCTCGCGGTTGCCTGAGCTTCCATGACGACTTCAATCAATCTTGGTGGAG